ATATAGAAATCCTGGCCAGGACGCGTCCTGGGAAAATGGCACGTATGGTCACCCTACCCAACATGCATATGTAGTTACCTTGATATTGTTCATGCCTTAGTTTCCAAGGAGCTCAGAAAGGTTGCAGCCGTACCCCTAACCCATGGCAAACCTATGAAGGTATGGATAAGTATGCAGTGTACACACAAATATTTGCAATTAACCCCATAAAGTCAATTAACCCTAAAAAGCCAACTGAATCACAACCTTGCTGAAAACCTAATGTACATAATCTACTACATGCTATCTGTCGTCTGGCTAATAGTTTAAACCTAAAAGTCCTTTTAGTATAATTCTAAAAATGTCTATTTTCAGGCCATGGTTCATGTGTGTTTTTGCTGTGAAATCTTTACAAATTTTTTATAAAGTAATAAAAATAACTTTTATATTGTTAGCAATATTACAAGATGAACATTTACTGAACTGAAGCAACTTAGATTTACTTGATTGTCCATACATCACTTTAGAAAAAGCATATTAAAATATGAGTATCAAATATAATATTGGCTTTTGAGAAATATTTTTGTTCCTCAAGTATGAGCTTGATATTCTTGTTATTATACTATATGAGCCATATAAAAGCCTGATGTATCAAATATGATACTCAACAAAAACATATGCAAACTTTTTATGGATCTTTTTTATATTTTGTCTAAAGGTTCAATAAACGGTTCCATTTCAGATTCGATTTTTCTAACCATTATTTTCATGTCGGGCTTTACAGGGTTAAATATTTATGAGCTTTTCATGATGTTTTGCTGTTTTCAGGAAACTGTGGAGCTTTTGACCCAGTTTAAAAACTTTATGATCACATACAATCGAACATACAGCTCCCAAGAAGGTAAAACACAGAACATACTTAACATTACTATGAATTTGTCACATCTTTACATTGCTGTACATTTTACAGTGTAATTTCTCAGGTACTTAAGTATACAAATATATTAATATATATTACCTGTCATGTGCAATATGTGTATAATGTAAACTGTTACCATATTATTTTTCTATACTAGTATGTCAGTTAATGGCTATTTGTAATGCACCTACACAATAAAAATCCCTTCTTTAAGCACTGATCCATTAAACTCCACAGAGGCAGAGAAGCGTTTGCGCATTTTCCAGGAGAATATGAAAACGGCACAAACGTTGCAATCTCTGGAACAGGGGTCAGCTGAGTACGGGCTCACCAAGTTCAGTGACCTCACAGGTATGTTTATGGATTTGTTGATTAATGTTGATTACTCAGTTAGTGAAATGTGCAAAAATTGGCAATTAGTGATGACTCAGTGGTCAAAAGTAACAACCCAGGCCAAAATGAGCATTATTAATGCTTGTGATTTAACAATAGTTATTATTACATAATTCAAAGACGCTGTAACTAAGTTTGTAACACTTGAGACCAGTCTAACATGTATCGTTTATAAGATCATATTGATGCAGCTAATCCCATCCTCTGTGTTTTTAGAGGATGAGTTCAGAATGATGTACCTGAACCCAATGCTGAGTCAGTGGAGCTTGAAGAAGGAGATGAAGCCAGCGACTCTGGCTAGTAAGGCTGCTCCTGACAGCTGGGACTGGAGGGACCACAGGGCGGTCAGTCCTGTGAAGAATCAGGTATGATGGCACAGATTAGCTTAATAAAGAGTGATTCAGTGAAATATCAATCTGAGTATGTCTGCAGAATTTCACTTTAAATGAAAAGTGTAACTGACTGTCTGTTGCAGGGCATGTGTGGCTCCTGTTGGGCATTTTCTGTGACTGAAAACATTGAGGGACAGTGGTTCAAGAAAACCGGAAAACTTCTTTCCCTCTCTGAGCAAGGTAAATATAAACTACACTACCGTTTAAGAAATGAATACTATAAGTGACAGAAAATATATTTATAATGACAAAAGATTTCTATTTCAAATGAATGCTATTATTTTGAACTTTCTATTCACCAAAGAATCCTGAAAAAATGTTTATACAAAAATATTAAGTAGCAAATCTGTTTTCAACATTGATAATAATAATAAATATTTCTTGAGAATCAAATCAGCATATTAGAATGATCTCTGAAGGATCATGTGACATTAAAATGGAGTAATGATGCTGAAAGTTCAGCCTTGCATCACAGGAATAAATTACATTTTACAATTTGTTTTACTGTATTTTTGATCAAATGCAGCCTTGGTGAGCATAAGAGACTTATTTCAAAAACATTTTTAAAAATCTTAAAAGGAATTATTGCAATAACATACTCAATGTGAATTCAGTGAAAATTAATTTGTTTGCTCACCTCTTTTCATCACAGAACTAGTGGACTGTGATAAACTGGACCAAGCGTGTGGAGGTGGTCTGCCGTCTAACGCTTACGAAGCCATTGAGGAGCTTGGTAAGAAATAACATTCCCTAGAAGGCAAATTCAATCAAACTACCCATAGAGAATCTGTACGAGTAAACGTGTCACATATAAATGTGCTTCTTTCTTTCTCCTGTAAAGGAGGTCTTGAGACCGAAACAGACTACAGCTACACAGGACACAAGCAGAGCTGTGATTTCTCTTCAGGGAAGGTGGCCGCCTACATTAACAGCTCTGTTGAGCTGCCTGACAATGAAAACGGTGAGTGAGAGAGATGAGGAACTAGAGATGTGTCAATAAACGCAATTAAATTAAAAACACCTTAAAACAACACTGATGATGGAAATACCAGCACTAGATCAAATTAAAGCAGGAAATTAAAAATCTCACATATTTATATCAGAACATTTGAAGAAAAATATGAGCTATAAGATAATCTTACTTAAATGTGAATATACCATTGATAATTACAGAACACCCAGTGTTTTAAAGGGAAATACACCAGTGTTCAAAAAGATTTTTTCAATGTTACTCACCAAGGCTGCATTTACGGTGTTTAATCAAAAAATACAGTAAGAACAGTAATTATGCAAAATATTATCACAATTTAAAATAACCATATTCTTTATTTGAATATATTTTAAAATGCAATTCATTCCTGTGATGCAAAGCTAAATTTTTAGGATCATTATTCCAGTCTCAGGGTCACACGATCATTCAGAAATCATTCTTTCTAATATGATGATTTGCTGCTCATGAAACATTTTTTAAAATTATTATCAGTTGATGAATACAAAAATCAAAAGAACAGCATCTATTTGAAAGATTTTTTTTTTTGTTACAGTAAAACTGTCACTTTTTATTTTTTTTAACTTTTGATCATTTTGATGCATCTTTGTGGATTTTTTTTTTTTTTTTTAAACAAGCGTCACTTTTTATTTTTTTTAACTTTTGATCATTTTGATGCATCTTTGTGGATTTATTATTTTTTTTAAACAAGCAAATAAAGAAAATAAAATTCATTATTACGGACCCCAAATTTTTAAATGGTAGTGTATGTTTACAGTCTTTCTTTTAATCTAAATATCTTGATTGTTATTGCCTCGTAGAGATTGCTGCTTGGCTGGCTGAGAACAGTCCGGTGTCTGCTGCCCTCAATGCTTTCGCCATGCAGGTAACACAAATACACCATGGAGCTGCTTCACTGGAAAAATATACCATTAGCATGCATAAATATGTAAATATATTGCCCTATAACGTTCAGGGCAAAACTTTATATAATTTATGTAATTGATGAGAAAACGGTATTAAAATAAAAAAAATAAAAGCCACAAGTTTCTAGTGCTAAAGTAGGCAAAAGTAGCATTTTTGTCTGGTCCTACAAAAACAAAAATACTGTCTTTACTTGGTTATTAGGAGTTGCCTTTTTTAAACAATTTTTTGCTGTCTTTAGTTCTACAGAAAGGGAGTGTCTCATCCTCTAAAGATCTTCTGCAACCCCTGGATGATTGATCATGCTGTGCTGCTTGTGGGATTCGGACAGCGTGAGTTACATTGAGTTCAATGGTTTGTACTGGTACAGATGTGAACTTCAAATGTTGCAACAGCAAGGCTTTGCAAAACAAAGTTTCAGAATACTTTGGATATACATGTACAGCTATATAGAATCAGTCAACAGAGTTGTGTAGAGATGTTGAGTATATTTTTCTGCTTTTGTGTGCAGGTAATGGCATTCCATTCTGGGCCATCAAGAACAGCTGGGGAGAGGACTATGGAGAGCAGGTATGAAAAATCACCTCAACAATGTGCAAATACAATATTTTCTGCTTGCGTCTCAGCTACACAGGCCACAGGGGGCATAGTTAGTAGGGTTGGGCGAAGCATGAATCCGTATTCATAAAGGCACGGAAAGCAAATAACGATTGCTAGCTTAAATTGAACTTACCACATAAACAGAGTAAGGAGAGATGAATGAGGACGATGGCGAATGATTTGCAGATCCTGAGCACCACTGACAAATATCTAATCTTGTAAAATGTGCGGTAAGTACTGCCGCTCCATAGTATAAATAAAGTACGTGCGATCGCGAATCTCAAAAGTGAAAGTGAAACTAAAAAGCGATCGTGCATTCAAAAGCAGTTTCAATGCCAGGCATAATAGCGGCTCCCTGATGCCCGCAAATTATATACAGTATAATTACCCAATGATATAACTGAGAGAGAAAGTATTAAAGTATATATTTTCCTCCCATCTCGTATTTATTCCCTTTAGGGGTTCTGTATACACGTCATTTTCTTTCAGAAAACGGTATTGGGACGCGGCGGATTGCAGGGGGTATGGGGGCGGGGGGCGGGATCACGATGCCGGCTCAACATCGTGATGTCTATCAGCCATCGGCGATGGACGATGGCATCGTCTATCGGCCCAACCCTAATAGTTAGAGAGTCAAACTTGTAACCTAAATGTCGCAGGTTCAAGTCTCAGTACCGGCAGGAGTTGTAGGTGGGGGGGGAGTGAATAACCAGCACTCTCTTCCACCCTCAATACCACGACTGAGGTGAGACCCTTGAGCAAGGCACCGAACCCCCAATTGCTTCCCGGGTCCCGCAGCAATAATGGCTGCCCCCTGCTCCGGGTGTGTGTGCGCTTGGATTGGTTAAATGCAGGGCACAAATTCCAAATATGGGACACCATACTTCGCCACACGTCATGTCACTCACTATTGTAGAAAATGGCAGCAATCATTATTATATGATAAAATCAATCATACATGGCCTTTGTAGACTTCAATTCTGGATTAATGCTGGAAAAAACATTACTGATGTTTTAACATAGTTAGTTTGATTGATATCAATATTTATTGATATTGTGTGAAATGTTAAATTTGATTTTTTGTTTGAATTTTACCCCATGAAGCACTTTGAGCTGCATTTATGAAAAGTTCTATAAAAATAACGTTTTATTATTAAAAATGTGTTATTTGCAATTAGAGTTTAACATTACTTATATGTATAGATTTATGTATAGATATAGATTTTCAAAATCAGCACAGAACAATTCTTAAAAAACATTTGGTCCTGCTCATAACTGACATGTAGGTGTTTGTAGACTGTGTTTGTATCTTATCTCTGCTAATCAGAAATGTTTTTTTCCCCCTCTAATTCTCATATAGGGTTACTATTACCTGTACAGAGGATCCAGACTGTGTGGAATCAACAAGATGTGCTCATCTGCAATTGTGAATTAGACACGCACACACACACACACACACACAGAAAGCAAGCAAGCAAACATGGATACAAAACATCTGAAAACAGCTCAGTCATGAACATGTGATGATTGTGTACAGTTCACACTCTGTTTCAGTCATCATGTGATCTGTGAACACAATAGTGTAAAACACATATTCTGCACATATTTCATCTATATAAGCACATAATTCTCCGTAGTTCAGGTATGTGAAGTATTTCTCTTGAGGTCATGTACTTTAGTTATCAGTCCTTTTGCTGTTACATACATGCTAAAAATCTGTTCTGTTCAGAAGAGCTGAATTTGATGTCATTACCTTAGATCCACGTGATGTTATGGACACAGCAGTTTACCAAATAGCAAATAGGTACAAGATAACAGCACAGTTTACCATGTTACTGATATAAACATATGTGTTATTGTGATTTTAAACTAGGTGATTTAGTTAATTACTTTGTGTTTTACTCTAATTCGTTTTGTTATTCTGTGTTTTATTATCTAATTGTTAATTTAATTTCAAAACAATGAGTTGAGCCTGTGTCATATTTGCTTTTAACCCTGATTAGCAGTTATCAATTTTTAAGAGTGTATTTTATTTTTCCAAGTGCATTTTACTGAGTTTTGAGCTGCTGGTCTTGGAAACTAGATTTTGCACACTATGAATTTCCACAGTATATTCTGATCATTCCGTTAATGCAAGTGTTGCTGTTTTTACCCGCACATCTTCCTCATTTTTGAGCATATTTTGCTGCATGGAAAAACTTGCTGATGCTTCTTCCAAACGCACAGTGGAAGATTTGTTTGAGGTATGTGTTGTGGCAGAAAAGATAAATTTCTCAGCCGCTGTGCTGTTACTGTTCAAATCCCTAATGCATTATAAAGCTGTATTGCTGAATAAATTTCCAAATGTCTTAGTTGTACTTTGCTTTAATAATAACAGTCAAGTTTTTGCAAGTTCAATAATTGAGCAATATTCATTTAGAAAAGGCTTATATTAGTCTAACATTTTAGGCACTTTAAACTGCATGAAACCCAGGAAGAAAGCAACCGTAAATGAAGCAAGAGAACTATGCTTAACCTCGGAGGTTTCCGATTTGTTTTGACACACTGGATTTGCCAATGTTAAAAGTGGAACTTCGTTTGTCACATGTTTGGGTTGTCTTGATGTTTTAGATGAAGAAATTAAGCAAAACGCATCTAAAAGAAAATCATAAAATATATAAAATTATTAAACTTTTGTTTACTGCTAAAATGTACAGTATGTCTTAATGAAAAGGAAAATACTTTTCATCCAAGCTCGATGCTTTGAATTTTTTGGAAAAAAAAGTGTTTATTTGTGGTAGTTTACCTCAATGTGAAAATTACTCTTCAAGCTTTGCAATTTCCATGACAACAAAGGCCATGGCATTGACCTCAACAGAGATCACACAGTTAAATTAAACATGTCATGTTATTTTATTGACTTAAAAAGTTACACAATCCCCAAGGAATGGATTTAGTACACTAAAACATTTAACAGCACAACTACACAAACGGGGAATTTCTTTTTGAAATATTATAGACTTTACCAAAAAATCCCCCTTGTAGGTTTTATACTCAGCTTGACAGATAGGCCATCTCTTACAGAATGACATAATGTCACAATAAGGAACAATGTTATTGAGAACCATAAGAAATCCATCATGTTTAGGGAAGACATTTCATGGACTATCAGTATTTCATATGAAATATGTTCATTATAAACAGAACATCCATTCGGATGATTTTTTTTCCTTTTTCTTTTTACAGTCACCAGAGAACAGGCATTAGTGCAAAAATGGTATAACAAGGTAGTCCTGACTGCAGTTTATCCATTTATTGGAGAGCGTGACATTTTACAGTCCTCTAGAACTCATGAGGGGACTCGGATGAATATGACAGATGTTCACTAAATGGAGCAGTGAACATTCACAAAAACAAAAAAAGCTATTCTTTGAGACTTGTAATGTAATAACGTATTTAAAAACTTCGAAATCACTGATTCTTAAATAATGGGGCAAAACAGGACATGAAGAACACAAACGTTTATGCATCAAAGAATTATTTTGTATAAACTTGTACGTTTTCTGGTTGCTATTCATAAATCACATAGGACTCCTTCACAGTTCAACACTGTCAGATACAAAATGTGTATAAATTTGCTAGATTTGTCAATATTTATAAAAATGGCATGACTAATGTCAAATATTTTTCATAAATACTAACAAATTTAGCATTCAACTTTAAGAATGAAGAAAATATCACACGATCATAATCATATAAGTATTATTGCGGTAGCCACTTTTTTTCAAGTGTTGCTAATAGGTTAATAGCTTGCTAATAGTAATAGGACTTCAATATTCTAATTGGAAATTGGAAAAATCCAAAACATTTTTATTGCTATATCTTTATGATGGAGGTGGCAAATTATGCACGTGTATATATAAACTGTAATGTAATATAAATAACTGTGAAATATTATTACTATTTAAAATAACATTTTCTATTTAAATATATTTTAAAAGCTATTACTCACTGTTAAAAACAATGCAGTGTCATTTTTTTTGTAGAAACCATGACTTTTTTTTCAGGATTCTTTGATGAACAAAAAGTTGGAAATAACAGCATTTATACACATTTATAAAAAAAAAAAAATAATAAAATAATGTTTTGCCCCATATTTCAAAAAACGGTGAAATACTGTTCTAACGCTTACCGTGAATTTGTGTCCTAAAAGAACTGGGGGAAAAATATTGTAATAATAATCATAATAACAATAAATAATTGAACATGGCTGGACATATCAGAGATATGGCGATCTAAATGATCCACTCAATATGGGTCCTATATGATTCCAAACTCCACACAAGTCTCCTCTCTATTACAATGAGATTCGGCTCTGTTAGTATGAGAACAGTAGGTTATTAACGCTCGATGGTGGAGATGTGATTGAAAAGCACTAGCAGTACATTCACAGTTTGCAAGCTGAAAGTGATTTGTCTAATACAGCAGGCCTAAGGTGGGGGTGGACGTCTCTCATGCCTCCCTCTATGACTGTACAAATAGTGGAGGTAGCAATGTGTGTATTCTGTGTCGTCTAGTAGTTGAGCACCTGATTAAAAGAGAAAATCTGGAAAATAAAAATGGATTCCAACTTTTTTTTTTTCTTTTTAAAGAATAGCGGTCCATTCAATGAGAAAGCACCAGTAATATTTAAATTGGTATTTTTTTAATAAACAAATAATGCCATAATGGTGGTAAGTTTTGTTAAGATTCTACATAAATGTCCCGGAAATATCCCAGGACGGCGGACGATACACAAGGATGCGGTAAAAGGATTCCAGCAGAAACAAATGAGCTTGTTCAGATTTCCAGGGAGATTATTGTGGCCTTCAAATTTTGGCCAGCAAATGTGAGACACTAAGTCCATAGTAAGTCAGTTCAGAGGGACCTGAGTGCACAGAATGAAACGCTAGACACAGCGATGAATGAATAGGCAGAGGCAACGCAGCCAAGTTTGGATCAGAAGACAGTTAAGACCCATAGTGGATACATTAAGCTATAAAGGACACCTACAAATGAGTACGATCAAGGGTTTTATCCCAAACAGATCGCAGATCAGCGTAAATTTAGTCCTAATGAAGTGACTTGTCTGCAGCAGTATTTGTTACAAATATCAAAAAAAGTAAAAGATACCTCCAGTGAATCATGATGAAGTGTTTTTTGAAACATCTATGTTTGAAAACCGCAGGAACAGGCGTCACACGAGCTCTGTAAGAATGTAACAGTCCTGGTGATGTTGGGTTTAACGGCGGTCCCCATCACTACACGCTGGTGATGGAGGCCTGTTTCTCCGTGCGGTTGGCGGGCGGCTCACGAATGGTACGGAAGCTGGGGGGCTGGTAGGGCGGCGGGGGTCTTTTGGTGCCAATGTGTCCTGGACTCAAAGCCATATTCTGGCGCCTGCTATTTTCCACATTACTCGAGGTGTTCGAAGCAAGGCTTTCCCGCGTGCTGAAGCGGTACAGAAGGACAGAAAGGGAAAGAGAATGAAAGTGTTATGAAGAAAGCAGAAATGGAAAATTGATTAGTAACAGGCTGAAAAAGGAACAAAGATAAGGTTAGTCAAGGTTAACAATCACAATCTTGTTATTAATGCTGATCAGGGTTGTGCACCATTTGGAACAGAACTGAGAATGCAGTTTAATTTCCAGATAATCTACTGAATTTGAATCAAATTTGCAAACAGGATGTAGAATTTGAATTCGATTATAAAGAAGCAGAATTAAAATGGAATAAAATTTAAATGAAGCCAAGCATACATTTTCTTGTCAGTATTTTATCAGGAAAACAATGCAGTGGATAATTCTTGTAGTGCTGTAAAGACGAATTAAAAGCTTTAAGAAAATTGTGTTTTTTCTGAACTTAGATAATAAATGTGTGCATGTGTATATATGTATACCACTACTGTTCAAAATATTGAGCTAAGCAAAAAATAAATATATTATAAAAATATAATAATAATAATAATAAATGACAGAGACTAGATTTGTCAAAATGAATCGTGTAATTATGTTTTATCACAAATATTGTATTGGACGAAAGGAATTCTTGCCGAGTATCCGTGTTTAATTCCTCTTCCTGTCATTCCAATTCAACATCCTGTGGCCTGTTCACTTTAAATGAATTCCAACTTAAATTTCAGAATATTGCCCAAAGCTGGTACTAAAAGAAAAGTAAATAAAGGACAACAGAAAATAAACAGGACAGCACAGGAGCAAAATTAACATTTAAGACCATGACAATATGAAGAATACAAACCTGAAGGACCAGAACATTTAGAAAGGTTTAGGGTGATGATACATGGATTTATGTGTGGATTCTAAAAGCCCAGTGTCAATAGATGCTACTCTCAAAAAGCCCAAACCTGCCCAAGAACTACATGAGAGTTGTATGAATGCAAGTTGTCATATCGAAAATCATCTGAAAAGATTTTCGTTGTTTTTGCCTTTATTATGATAGGACAGTATGTAGACAAAGCGAAGTGAAAGGGATGGGATCGGGAAATGTCCACGAGCCAAGACTCGAACTCAAAGACTACTGGCGCCAGCTAGTTAATTATGTTAAAATGTTGTATATTTCATATATCTGGATATTTAGTTATTTGTTATTGCAATAATTAATTAGCTTTTATTAACCATTTAAAGCATACGTTTGATACAGGCTTAAAAAAAAAAAAAAAAACTGTTACTGGCCCAAGAAACTATTAAATTAAAAATAAATAAAAAATCTGTATGTGCCCTTTTTTTTTTTTTAAATAATGTATTACAAAATAAGTATTTAGAAGACGTCTGACATACCGCTGTTTAGGAAATTTTAGCTTGAATTTCCATTTTCTATGAGGAGAAAGTGCAAGTGCAAGAAGGGAGAATGAAAACACAAGAAGGAACTGCACAAAACTAACACACACACACACACGGTAAAAACGGCAACTGAACCACTGTATGAAAAACAACATACTTTAATTTGGGAAAACAAACAAACAAAAAACACAATAAAAGAAAAAAAAAATCACGGGGGCACATTTTGTTCCTCAAATGTTTGAAATGTCTCATCAGGCTTTTGGCAGGGGTCGCCGTCACCAAAGTGAAGCGTTCCTAACCCGCTCTGCCTCGCAGGGTGACCTGAGTATCAGCACAGTGCTTGCTTTTCTTCATCCAATCACATTTCCTTAACATAGTAAAAAAAAAAATCCACTTCATTAATTTCAGCAGTTCAAGAAGTCCGGTTTATTTCCTCAATTAGATGTCACAAACTTCTTTATATCACTCTGGATGACACTGCGCCTTTTTTATTGTTGAATTTTTGCCTGCAAAACAGACTTTGCATCCAA